CTGCTTTATATGAACAGAATTCCTTACAACATTACTGTGGTAATATCATGGCACAGTGACAGTAATACCATGGTGTTGTAATATGTACTGTTAAAATATGTTGATTGCCAAATTCATATATTGTGGTGTTTACATTATATTCAAAATGCCAAAACCATGGTACTTTTTTGTATATGATGGAAGTTTCTTCCTCCTGATGGGATGAACCGCCTGAGTCCTTTTCTTCTCTTTTCTGCTGATGTGTACGTAGAACGAATGAGAGCAGAAGCGAATGTTCACCCATGCATCAGTACCCCAGCACACAATCAGTGCTGTATAATTGGCCCTGGCCTTCAAACACTCACTGGCCTCGTTTTCTGTTTATGGGGCATGCTGAGCCTGACAGCAGAAAGCTATAATTGCAGTGATGTAATCCATCTGAAGGTACAAAGGGGCCCCTTCTCATCTCGCATCTCTCGAGGGAGCCGTTGGTACTGTGTTGCCATAGCAGAGCCACCCGGGAGTGTCTGGAAAGCTGCTTTGCCACTTCTTGGGTGCAATTTGAAACAATCGAATTATTATTTAATATGCTTTATTGCACATAAGGAACATCGTTCGTGGTCATCCCACTCTTGTTATGATTTGTGTGGGCTGAAATGGCCCAGAGGAGAGTAATGACAATGAGGGAGGCTGTGCGATTTATGCATTTGGTGCCATTTCCTGCTGTGATTATTACTAGGGATGCTTGACCCTTCCTGGCCCGTTCATGTTAACATGCAGCGCTCCAGTGCCCAGTGCATCAGTTAACAGATTCCACAACCAAGTCCTGCTCGACAAGAAGGATTTGAACCCCTAGTGGCCTAACCAAATGCTCTACCGGCAGAGCAAGTTTGTAATATCTTCCCGGACAGGGTGGATCGGTCAGATAGGGCTAACAAAGGCTAAACATGGTCTGCAGCATCAACAGTGAACGATCGCATTACTGCCTGTCGCAAATGGGAGCTGCAGCCTGCAGCCACTGGAGATTTGTTTTTCAGTGCTGGTGGTTATCACGGATGCTGAAAGACAAAGTCAAGGGGCACAGTTGACATTCAGTTTGATAAAAATTGTGCATGAATAATTAACATCTATAATAGTTGTATTTGAAAGGAATATGCAAGAGAGCTTGGATACAGAATGTTATAGTTGTATATTTAGATGCAGGAGAAGAAATAACAGGCTTTATGTCTCATGTTTCAGTAGTAAAGTAACTAATTGCTTATTGAGTTTATCAAGTGGCTTCCTCAGGCTGTGTTGCATCCACTGCTGTGTACACTAGAGATATTGAGTTACCTGAGAAGAATTACTTTAGGGCTGCACGATAAATCGCATGCGATATTTAGCGCGCATCTTATCAGTAAAGCCGGTTCTGTAATCAGTAGTAAATCTCCATCACCTGCGGGCTTTCACATTGAGTAGCATTAACTACACAGAGCCGTTGTTCACTGACGAGCTGCGCAAAACCACGTTCATATTCGCGCGATTTTTTGCGCAGCTCGTCAGTGAACAATGAACACTGTTGTCACAGTGAATTACACTATATTTGTGTGATATGTGTAGGAAGACAGAGACAGAGTTTGTGACCATTAGGGATGCACCGAAATGAAAATTCTTGGCCGAAACCGAACAAAATTAAACAGTGGGCCGAAGGCCGAATACCAAACACGGTTTTTCAAGTTTTTTCCCCCCATGTATTTACCCATTTTTATTTTCACCATTGCATGAATTAAAAAGCCAAAATGTGCTTTTTACTGTTTTGTCTTGCTTTTCAAAAAAATTTAAAAATAATTTACAAAACAACTATTTAAAAATATTTAACACTGAACATTTTTAACATTCTAGCAGACACTATACCAACAAAGCACAATTTAACTTAAAATAAGTTGGTAAAATAATAATTTTTGGCCATCAGACCCCCTTCTTGAATCAGACATGTATTTTTAACTGTACAATTAAACAGCCTTTCTGAGAAGAGACTTCTTTTAAAACATTAGAAAATATTACAGATCCTAATTTGAACGCTATGTGTGAATGTTATAATAAATGTAAACGCGATTGTCTGACTTTTTATTTTATTTTACAGAACAACAGTAAAATTACAATACTAACAGTTATGAATGTTGATAGACTTCTTGCTTTTTATTTTATTTTGGCGGAAACGCGCAGGAAGACCTCAATGCTTCTTTTTGTTGACAACAGATTTATAAATGAGTCTCATTACGAATACGTCGTACGTATCGCATTGTCACATGCCTTGTAAAAATTCATATAAATGTGACTGAGCAACTGACGACTGTATCAGCGCAGATTTTCCTCGTGCTTTGGACTTCTGCGAATTCGTGCAGCGCTGTCAGAATACATGCAATGCGCGCGTGTATTAGAAAACATAACGTTCTGCAGTTTATTTACTAATTGTTTAAGGCCATTTCAGGATTTCAGTCATCATGCAGTAACCAGCAACAATCAGTCATTCCTCTTCTCACGACGTGTGTGTTGCATAATAAAGAACCTCTCACTCTGCTCTGGTTGCTATTTAATCGTGTCATATCATTGTTCGGTACAGTTTATTCGGTCTTTTCGCTTATTCAAGCTTTTTTTTCTATTTTCGGCCGAATAATTTCGGTTGCCTAACATTCGGTGCATCCCTAGTGACCATTACCGTACAAAAATAACCTGTTGACACATCCTTTAGATTCTTTTTTTTACAGAATCAAAAAAAAAAATCCCCACACTGCTTCTTTTTATTTGTAAATGTGGGTAGAGTGTATTGCCCGTCATCTCCTCTGACATGATTTTGTGCAGCAGTAGAAGCTACACACTGCATTGTCGTTGTCTATTTTTCTGTTTTATGATGGGTGGCAATCATTATGCTGGAGCAAAAAGGAAAAATGCAACACTGCTTAGTATTTACTCAATGAATTCAATATGCACTGATTCTTATTTAAGCTACAAAAGTTAAGTAAGAGCAGTGAGTGATTTTCTCTTTGTCTTTTGTTCATGGCCCCAAATATTGCAAGCCGTAGCGATATGCATATTGCGACATGTACATTTGCGATATTTCGATATATTGCACAGCCCTAGTACATTGTAAGAAAAATATCTAGAAAAATGTAAAAGATAATAGTAATTTTCCAGGACATTATCCGTTATCCATTATTCATTATCCATTGTAACCTGAAAACATAAAATACAATGCATAATTTAAAATGCAGGGGGAAAAAACTGAGAAATCCTTCATATTATAATAGTAGATTGTGCTCTATTTTTACAGAAGCATACTAACTAACTAACTGCTTAAAACCATCATTGTTCAGAATGTGTAGTTTTACTAGTTTACTAGCTAAAAAAAACTTAAATTGTAAGTGTTCAAAAATGTGTAAGTGTTCAATATTTCAATGTTGTATTTAAAAATACAGTTATTTATATTTTAATATTATGTTATATTATTTTACAAGCAAATCTAAATTAACATTATATAAAATAATTTTTTTGCTGAGATATGATGTAGTGACAATTTTGCGTCGTAATTACGTAATGATGTCATCGTGCAATGACATCACAACGTCATTTAAAAACTTGGCAACAAATCAACCTTCCTTCAGCGACTTCCCCTGAAAATGATTATCAATGAGAACAGGTGTGCTGCTTCATTTTGTGAAAACCACGATCGTAGCCTACCATTTAAAAGTTTGGGTTTCAGTAAGATAAGAAAAAAAAAAAGGAAATCAATACTTTTATTTTGCAAGTATTTGAGACTCTATTTATAACATTTATAATATTACAAAATAACATAATATTACAATATAATATTACAAATAAATTCTGCTCTGAAATGTCTATTTATCAAACAATCCTGAGAACAATGTATTATTTCCACAAAAATATTGAGCAAAAAAAACGAAACGTTTCAACATTAACAATAAGAACCATTATTAATCATTGAGCACAAATAGCAACTGATAATATTTGTGCACCAAATCATCACACGAGAATAATTTCTGAAGGATCATGTGACACTGAAGACTGGAGTAATGATGCTGAAACTTCAGCTTTGCCTTCACAGGAATAAATTATATTAAAAATATTAAAATAAAAAACAGTTCTTTTACATTGTAATAATAGTTCACAATATTACTGTAATTTTAATCAAATAAATGTAGCCTTGGTGAACATAAAGCATGTTTAAAAACATTTTAAAACATCTCAATTATCCAAATGTTCCATGTTAGTTTTTAGGTTGTGACCTAGGCACGTTTCTGTGAAATTCATCCATATGTAGAATGTTGAATCATACGTTTTCCTCTCTACCGCTCCAGTGCAGCGCGTGCAGCCGAGGGGCCGGTCTTCACTGGGGTCTGCAAGTGCTTTTCACGTTCCAAAGGACACGGTTTCATCACGCCATCAGACGGAGGCAATGACATCTTTGTGCACATATCTGAGTAAGTTCACCGGGCAAACATCTTGAACCTTCAACAAGATTTCAGGCTCCTACATCCAAGCCAACGCACATTCCACAACAAACCCAGTTAACTCAGAATCGTCAGAAAAAAAAACACAAATCATTATTAATATGCATGCCTAAACAGAGACCAGAAATGTTAGTGCTCCAACAGGTGAATAGATTCACGTCAGTAACTTAAGTTTATTAATTTGTAGATGGATTTGAGCTGATCATGAAGGAGGGGCTTCTGGGAATAGAAGCTCGTGGAGTGTGCGTGTGAAAGGTTTTGGGGTCAAGGCTCAGTTAAACACTTGAATATGAGAGATAACGAGACAATAAACGAATGTACAGCTCACAATGTGAAAGGTATCATCAATCCACAAGCACAGCCTCAAAACAAACACTCATTATGCTGACAAGATCGATTACAGGCTCAGGTTCCCAGCAGAAGTTATGAGGCCGGCTCTCAGATGAACAATGAACGTCCACATAATAGAACCATTAACACTTTTAAAGCATCTCGTGTTGAGCTGTGGCACCTGTGAGGAATCAGTCATGTGAGGATAGAAATGGAGATGGCCGTACCTGCAGTGCGTAAAGGCCCTGTAGAAGAGTCTTCCCTGAGCGCATCACCTCCTCCAGAAGGTTCTCTCTTCGGATCACATTAAGCAACTCTGATAAGAACAGATTCTTTGAGGGGTCTCCCATCCACGTGTTGAAGATTCTGTAGGGCTGAGGTGCATACAGTCACGTCAGTTTAAATGGTCATTAAAGATGTCATGCAACCAACATTTGCATTTTGTAGCATTTAGTTTATGTATTTTAGCTTTGAGGTCATCTATAGGCAAATACACTATTAAAAGTTATGGTCACACTTTATTTTAAGGTCCAATTCTCGCTGTTAACAAACCATTAACTACGACTTTTGTCTCAATAAACTCCTAATTTGCTGCTTATTAGTAGCTAGTGAAGTAGTTACAGCCAATATGTTAATAACAGGCATGCTAATAAGCAACTAGTTAATAGTGAGAACTGGTCCATAAAATAAAGTGTTACCAAAGTTTTTTTTTGGTAAATGTAAAGTATTCTAAATGGAAATACCTAAAAAAAGGCTACTGGCTATTTGAAAAACAAAGCAAAGCAAAGCAAAACGTTCCACCTCCAATTTTTTGTTGTAATGTGTCAATACAAGAAAGAAATCTTACAAGCATTTTCATGATAATCACTAATTTCATTATTAAAATAATCACAAAAAGATCCCTTAGACCAAAACATAATGACATTTTTGTTATGGTTTTGTAATAATAATAATTATTATTATTACAAAAACATGAACATTTATTAATAAATACATTACTTTTATTATTCCAACAACAAAAAAATTATAGTAAATTCTAAAATAGAAATACAAATTTATACAAATATTTTAGTAATGAATACTACTACTACTACTAATAGGGGGAGGGGTCTGAGTGTGATTACTTCATTATTCAAATAATCACACTCAGATCTCTTTTACAACATTTGATACAAAAGATCACTTTATATTTTACAACATTTGGGAAGTTGCAACAAAAAGGCACATTGTGTGCATATATTATTGCCAACACAGGTCTTTAAAACAATCAGCTGTTATATTTGTAATTTAGCCTTTCTAGTCAATTAACTAAATGTAGCCCAAGCTATTTTTTGTTTAGAATTGAGATAACCAAAGAAGGTTACTTTACAGGAAGAAACATGTTTTCGACAGTAGGGGGAGTGATTGCTCAATTCCACGCAGCTATGAACCTCATCCAAGGACAAGCAATTATTTAGACAAACAATGATTGTGAAACGGACAGAACAATCATCTGGTACTAAAACACATTATAATGCTATTCATCAACGATGACTCAATAACAAAAAGGATAAAGCAGGCAGTTGGGGACAATTACTGCGAGTGATTATTGTTGCCGATTCTTTACGAGGTAACATATGCAGAAGCAGTGACAGCTCTTACTTTGTCTGGTTGCAGTTCATCCCTGTGGTAGTATCCTCCTGTCAGCAGCTTCTTGCTGAAGGAGACAACATCAGCAGGGTCGTCCAGGCCCCAATGCTCATGGGCCCAGAACTTGCCTGTTGTTCCTCCACCTGTCTGCACCTCATCCACGTGGAAAGCACAGCCATGCTGAAAGAACCAGACACAGATAAACATCTGTCGGCTCACTCTCGGTCAAAAGCCATCCTGTCAGCCTGCATACAACTGCATACAACACCCGCCGGACACGGCCGCTGCGTTTCGCCACGCTCCATTTGAAGTGAACACTTCCCGAGCTATTCAGGGAGAGCGTGGACTTCCTCACAATTACATAAGGAGCTTCTTTTCTCTGCATAAAGCAGCCATATTAAATTATTCCCTTTTGTCTCCTGCCTTATCTCATTCAAATTAGAGCAGATAAGAAGAACTTCCTACAGAGTCTTGAGTGCCTTTTTTATTGGACAGTTCAAAGAGCCTCATTTTAGCCATTTATTACTGGAGTGTCTCTCTCAAATGACTTCAAAGCAAAGATTCGGTAAACAAGGACGATAACTAAGCGTTAGAGAACAGTCAGCCTAAAAAAAAAAGAAGCATTTTGACCTTGCGTGCAATATTTCTCAGTTTGATGAAGAAGTCAGGTGAAGCGTGGTTGTCCCCTCCCTCCGCCTGGATGGGCTCGATCACAATGCCAGCCACTGGTTTGCCCTTCTGCCTCCACTTCACGATGAGATCCTCAGCCTGACACACACAAACATTAATATCTTACTTTTATGTGAAGTAGGTAACACTTTGCAGTAGGTGCACTGAAACACAGCGACTAGTCTGCTTTTCTTAAATAATGCTGCAATTCTACTGAATATAAACTAAATATAGGCTATTTTAGGAAGGAACATTTTAGAAAGGAACAAAAAGAGGAACAATCAATAAATTAAGAATCATTTATTGCCATTGTGTGAATAATATATAATGCTGCAATCAATAAAAAAGTAACTGTAGTCTGATTACAAGTTTTTAAAATGTAGTTTAATCTAATTACAAGTACTTAATCTATCTATTAATATATAATGCTGCAATCAATAAAAAAGTAACTGTAGTCTGATTACAAGTTTTTAAAATGTAGTTTAATCTAATTACAAGTACTTAATCTATCTATCTATCTATCTATCTATCTATCTATCTATCTATCTATACACACACAAACAAAAAGACATCAGTGGTTTACTATTAAACTACTGGGGTTTAATAGTTAAGTTCAATCAACTGCATTTGTAGCATTATGTTGATTACCACAAAAAATAGCTTCTATTTGTCTCTCTCTCTCTCTTTTTTAATCTTTTGCCCTCATGCAAAAATCTTGATCATGCACATTCCTATTAAAATCTTGGAAAATCTGGCATAAAAGTTTTCCAAACAATGGTAAATGTTGCAGTACCTATAGTAAAAGCTGTTTAAATAATAATTTATACAGTCATTTTATATCATGTGGTGATACTATTGAAACGGTGAGCATTTTATCATTTATGGATTGGCATCACTCACTTTTATTGTAAGTGCCTCACTGTAGCAGATTTTATTTTATTTTTTAAGAAAAGGAGATACACCCAAAAATGCTGTTGATTGAGTTTAAGCTGTCCTGAACCTGGAGGAACGTTTTTTTGTGAACATATCAAGGAGACATCTCTGACCTCCTCCAGGCAGCGGGCCTCTTCCTGGGCGTTCTCCCTCACAAACTCCTCCAGAGGGTACTGCAGTTTAGGGAAGGGTGCGATGGGCCAGTCGAAGGACGGTATATCCAGCTTGTGAATGACTTTGGAATGTGTTGTAGCCAGGCAACCTGCAATCCAACAGCACACACATAAGGGATGTGTGTCCTAGTCAAAACAAAAGAGCCAGGCTTCTTTGTTTTTCAAATGAAGTCATACGATACAAACAGCTGCAAAGGCAAACAAATGAAAGGCAAATATAAGCAGGCTAGGTCAAATAGAGAATTACAAGCCCAATTCCAGAGAAGTTGGGACGTTTTGTAAAAATGCAATAAAATCAAGAATCTGTGATTAGTTCATTCTCTTTAACTTTTATTTAATTGACAAAAGTACAAAGAAAATATTTCCAAAGTTTTCACTGACCAACGTAAATGTATTTTGTAAATATTAACAAATTTTGATTTTGATGGCTGCAACACACTCCAAAATAGTTGGGACAGAGGCAAAATAATAGCGAAAAGGTTATAGAATATCCACTTTAAACTGTTATGAAACAGTTCAGAGAAGTGTCAAACAAATCAAAAATCACATTTCGCAATGCAAAATTGCAAAGAATTTAGGTCTTTCACCAACTACCATATGTAATATTGTGAAAAGATTTAGGGAATTCAGAAAAATCATAGTACATGTAGGACAAGGCAGGAAACCTCAGTTGAATGCGCTTGACCTTTGAGCGTTCAGATGGCATTGCATAAGAAACAGTCATGCTGCGGTGTTAAATATAGCCACATGGGCTCAGGAGTACTTCAGAAAACTGCTGTCACTTAACACAGTCTGCTGCTGCATCAAGAAATGCAACTTGAAACTCTGTTACTCTAGGAGAAAGCTATACATCAATTCTATGCAGCGATGCTGCCGGGTTCTCAGGGCCAGAGCTCATCTCAGATAGTCAAAAAGACAGTGAAATTTTTACAAAACGTCCTAACTTCTCTGGAATTGGGGTTGTAGAATCTGCTTAAAACGTACTTTACAAAAACTGCATCAGACACATCTTTCAATTCTTTTTTCGTAAGTCAACATAAAATTTCCAAGCACTTACCCAAAGTTCTTCCATGGAAAGCTCCCATGAAAGACAAGATGCTCAAATCTGGGCATCCAGGACTCTGAGAGAGAGAAAAAAAGAGATTAGTGTGTGTGAAAATAAAATGATGTTGCGTAGTCGCATGCGTAGTGTTTTTTTCTAACCTGGTTGATCATGCAAGTGCCGACTTCCTGCTCAGAGGGGATGGCGTATCCTCTCTCCTTATTCTAGAAACAAGTAAAAACAATGATTTGATATCAGGTGATTTAAGAGTTATTAATGTGTATAAAGTATATATTTTTAAAGTATATAATAAGTATATATATTTTACTTTTTTAATGTATTATTTATTTTATTTTTTTTGCACCCTCAGATTCCAGATTTGGTATCTCTGCCAAATATTGTCCTATCCTAACAAGCCATACATCAATGGAAAGCTTATTTATTAAGCTTTCAGATGATGTATACATTTCAATTTTAAAAAATTTACCCTTATGACTGGTTTTGTGGTCCAGGGTCACATATTTTGTTATGATTAATTTTATCAATAACAGCCCTAATATAAAGTAATTAAAAAAATAATTATAATATAAATGTATGCAATAACACCAATGAAAATATCAGAATAGTTATTATTATAAAGTATTTTGTTTTTATATTAGGAATTTTTTTATATTTAATAGTTACTCCAGTGAGTTTTTTTCTGCAACAGTTTTAGAAGACTGCTTCCCCATGTGTATTATTACTGCCAGAATACAACCAATCTCACAACTAGAGTACATAAAGCAGATGTGCTTTGTGTGGGTCCTCATGACACATCAAGTCCGCGCAAGAGCAAACTGAGGAAAGTGCACTCACTCTGTACCAGATAAACATGGTCTTGAAAGCATTCTCATTGGAGCAGGAACCACAGGCCATGGTTTGTACTCGCGTCATCCCGCTGGGGGCAATCTGATTTTGAAGAAAGTGTCATTTACAGCACTCCACACTACAATAAATAGCAAGCCACTTCAGGCCAATGTGGAAAAGAGTGCATTTATTTATGATATCTGCAAAGCATGTTATCAAGATTACGAGAATCACAATGAGCTGTTTTATAACTACTGAACACAAGCTGTTCTTCAAGTGAAAGGTTGTAGTTGCCTCATTATTGGGGCAGATCCAGACAATCTGTAATCCTTGTGCAAAACGTAGTCCTTACTCTGTACTTGTGAAGCGTTTCAGCAAAATCAGCAATAACTCACAGAGACATATGCTGTAATCAGCTTTCCTGGATGTTTTGAAATATGAACAGATTGATTTTTCAAGAGATGCTTTACTTGTGATTTTTGCAATTCAACAACACTCACCGATAGCAGGCTCTCGATCAGTTTGTCTGGAAAGTTCTCAGGTGGCAGAATACCAAGTGCCGGCCGGTTGACAAATGCACTCTGTGAAAACAAAGATTCACACAAAAAGGATTCACTAAAGGAAACAGTGTCCCTAAGAATTTAATTATTTCGTAAAAATGTTTTAAGTGCCCAAGAAAAGTATTTCTTTCCTATATTTATCCATTTTCTTTGAAACAGGAAGTTTAGGTCAAACATGCATGTCTTTCTTTATAAAAGCCAACAGGCTTCAGTAATGTCACAGAGATGAACATGATTGGCTACTTGCTACTTTACTCGTCAGTTACAGGTGGTATAAGGGGGCAGGACATTCTCATTCTGGAAAGTTTTTAATTCAATAAAAATCTGTGTAGCGAAGGATGAGCAATCAATATTTTTGGTCTGTTTTCCATTTGAAAAAGACTACTAATATTAAGTGTGTATACACTACTATTCAAGAGTTTGGACTTGGTAAGATTTTGTTTTGAAAGAAACTTTTACTTTAGTAAGGTTGGATTAAATTGATCAAAAGTTACTGTAAATGCATTTATAATGTTACAAAATAACTCTCAGAATTTCACAGAACTGTTGTTTTTTTAAACTGTCCATTAAAAAAGAAATCTGGAAAAAAATGTATCATGGTTTCTACAAAAACAGTAAGCATATTAAACTGTTTTGTACATTGATAATAATATGAAATGTTTTTTCAGCAAATCAGCATATTAGAATGATTTCTGAAGGATCATGTGCCACCGAAGACTGGAGTAATGATGCTAGAAATTCAGCTTTGCCGTCATAAGGAATAAATCACATTTAAAATATATTAAAACTGATATTTAAAATCGACATAACTTTTCACAATATTACTGTTTTACTATATGTAAAAATAAAAATAAAAAAGGGGGAAACATGCCTGAACTGATCTGTTATGTCTGCAGAACAAGACGCACCCAAAGCAAACTGAACAAATGCCAAGGTTCACATGAACGTGTGTGTCCTGCCCAAATTTTAAGTGCACATAATATTTAGTGTTTTTTTTCTTTCTTTAAATTGAGCTTACATAAAACTCTGCATAGCAATCCCAGCTATGACCAGCAGAGAGCTCTTGCACATACTGAACATATAACAGACAAGTTATGGCAAAGCAGAGAAAAATAATTATAGATATCTGGCATAACATTGTTGAACTGTGTTGTTCCCTTCTGTCAAAAAACAGAAAGCTGAACACTGTCATGATATTCAGCATGTCCGCATGTTAGGAGAACAACAACAACAATAATAATAATAATAATAATAATATACACAAATACTTTTCATTATCGAATTAATCTCTCAAAAAAAATATTTTAGAAATTAGACTTGTTTAAAGGCAGAATACTGAGAGCTCAACAGAAACAAGCATGGAAGCGTTTGTGGGAAAACACCAGCTGTTACCTCATGGGTCATTCCTGTTATGCAGTACATTTTCATGTCATCATATTTGTTGGCTAAAAATGTAAATTATATTTCTTTAAGATTAACATATAGTAGTTTCCTTTATTATTATTATATCACAAATAGATGTACAGTATCAGTGTCGCATCTTTTCCATCAACCAGTCAACATTTATAACACTCTATGCATGCTGTATAAAAATGTACATTGTTCTGAAAAAATTGTTTTTAGATTTTTGTATTCATTATGGTGTTTATCAAACAATACTAAAGATCCCATCAATTTTACTCTTTATTGTTTTTTTTAAGAGTTCTGTTCTTTTGCACTTTAATCTGTTTGAAAGATTTGTTTACTTTGTACATATTCTTTGTGCAATGTGTTACTGTTTTTCAGCATGTCCGCATGTTAGGAGAAGTCTAACTTAGAAGATAGGTCTAACTAGAAGATAGTTAAGTCTAGAAGTTAAGTCTAACTAGAAGATAGGGGGAAGTCGTGGCCTAATGGTTAGACAGTCGGACTCGTAACCCAAAGGAGTACTGGCAGGGATTGTAGGTGGAGGGAGTGAATGTACAGCGCTCTCTTCCACCTTCAATACCATGACTGAGGTGCCCACCGAACCCCCAACTGCTCCCCGGGCGCCGCAGCAAAAATGGCTGCCCACTGCTCCGGGTGTGTGTGTTCACTGCTGTGTGTGTACACTTTGGATGGGTTAAATGCAGAGCACTAATTCCAAATATGGGTCACCATACTTGGCCACATGTCACTTCATTTTATTATTAAGTTTGCAATTTAATACTGTTATAAATACTGTGTTTTGGCAATTATCGCGATAGGACATTTTTATACTGTTAGATGCCTAATCACAAACAAGTGAAGATAGGGATGAATTTTAAATCATAAACTTTGGTTTAAATGGCTGTTGCCATTTCTGGCCTGGACAAGTTTTCACGGTTTCTTCATTTTTTCCCCTTTCCCCTAATCAACATATTTCAAACAATACATGTTTTCTTAGAACAAACTAAAATGTATATAATTAATATTTTTTATATGTAAATTTACTACCAACTTACCAAGCTATTACCATAATTATGTTTTGTGGTATTAGTCTATTCCATTTTAAAAAACTAAAGTTATATAAATTGATCAAGTAATTTCTATTATCAAAACTTAAAAAGGTTACAAAAATATAAAAATGGTGAACTTTATCTCTTTAGCTTTCTTATTTACATCATGTTGAGATCCATCTTTATGATTTTATTGCCATAGAGTAAACTATCAAGTAATAATCTAAAAAAAAAGAGTTTAAATGCCTGAGCACATTTCTGAAAATCTTTTATATCTTTTAATAGAAATACTTCCTTTAATTATACATATACTACATGCATATTAAAGGTTAGTTCACCCAAAAATGAAAATTAGCCCATAAATTACTCACCCTCAAGTCATCCTAGGTGTATAAGACTTTCTTCTTTCAGACGAATCCAGTCAGAGTCATATTAAAAATGGTCTTTGATCTTTCAAGCTGTTTAAACAGAAGTGACTTTTCAAAAGAAGTGAAATAAAAAGCGCCCATCCATTCAAAAAAAAAAAGTGTCTCACACGGCTCCGGGGGGTGAACAAAGGCCTTCTGTAGCGAATCGATGCGTTTTTGTAAGAAAAATATCCATATTTAAAAGGTAATAATCACTTTAATGTAGCTTGCGCTCACTTTTGTAAACGGAAGCAGTTCCGGGCGGATGACGTATGAGGTCAGCTTTGCGCATGCGCCGCTCAGAAGTGACAACGCAGAAACGCAGCGGAGAGATCAAAACAAAACAACGGTCACTAATTAGAAGTACAAAACTAGGATTTGTAAAGAAGAATGTTGAAGGATTTCGATATAAGCCAAGAGGAGACTGGTTTTCCTTTGCTAAAGTAAGGAAACTTTGCTTCCTTTGATCCTGTAAACAAATGTTGGTTTTCACGAAACTCACCGGCGCATGCGCAACACTGAACTCATACGTCATGCTCCCGGAACTGCTTCTGTGTACAACTGTTGGTGCAAGCTACATTAAAGTGATTATTACGTTTTGAATATGGATATTTTTCTTACAAAAACGCATCCATTTGCTACAGAAGGTCTTTGTTCACCCCCCGGAGCCGTGTGAGACACTTTTTTTTTAATGGATGGGCGCTTTTTATTTAACTTCTTTTGGACCGATGCATGCAACACCCACTGAGTGGCATTAAACAGCTTGAAAGATCAAAGACAATTTTTTATATAACTCCGACTGGATTGTCTGAAAGAAGAAAAAAGATTAACTAACCCTTTAATGTCCTATACCTACACAGAGTACAAAATGTACTGCAGAAAAGGAAAAACATTCACATGAACTCTTGACAAGCAAGTACAGACTAGCTTAACACTCCACCCACTGTTTCAGTTATCTGAAAATATTCTCATTTTTGTCAGATGTCAAAAGTGGCAGAGTTATCTGTTTTGCAGACTGACGACTAAATCTGTCCAGTGGCTGATCCAGGATCACAGAGAGCTCTAGATATAAAATTTTAAGTAAAACATTAAGTAATAGCACAAGAAGATTGCAGTTATGTTGACGTTATGCATGAAGGAAACAAACTAATTTCTCTTGCTGCTTCAGTGGTCAAGAAGAAAATGTTACATCCCTTCTGTATGCATGTGTCTGTCATTGTGAATGCTGTGGGAGACTGGGGGTTGTACACTAATGTAACTAAAATATCCCATAATGCACTTCCGTCGAAATGATACTGGAGCAGCAAGTGTGAGGGAAATCAAAGCTCATTAAATCTGAGTCATCACCTGAAGACATCTCTGAGAGCGAGAGACAGTAGCTTCACTCAATTTGTTGAGGCTGATTAAATGCAAGTAAGCTAACGGACCAAACCAATAGCATGCAGACAGAGGAAAGGCGCTCTTTCTGCCTCTCAGGTCTGTTTGTTGTATCCATAATCCGGCAATCCTCACAGGAAGTCCTCAGAACCGGTCACTCACTTTTAATCATCCACAACAAACGTGCCTTCATGCAAAGCCACAGGACACTGCTCACATTTACTGAACATAGTTATACTATACTGTATATATATATATAATACTTAAAGGGGTCCTATTATGCTCTTTTACAAAATCTTGATTTTGTTTTGGGGGTGTACTAGAACAGGCTCTCATACTAGCTTGCTTGAAAAACACATAATTTTTCACATATTTTACATTATTACAACACCTTTCTCCCCAGTCTGGCATGAACAGCTCGAATAGTTCCTGTATCAAATGAAAGCCCGCCTTCTGAAATACAAAATGTGCTGTGATTGGTTAGCTGGGCCAGTGTGTGTTGTGATTGGTTAGCTGGGCCAGTGTGTGTTGTGATTGGTTAGCTGGGCCAGTGTGTGTTGTGATTGGTTAGCTGGGCCAGTGTGTGTTGTGATTGGTTAGCTGGGCCAGTGTGTGTTGTGATTGGTTAGCTGGGCCAGTGTGTG